ATCGCAATGATTCTATGATAGATGTGAGCAACAAGATACTTAGTGTCATACAACAAAGAGAAGAACGACAACAAAAAGAAGCTGAAAAACGAGAGGAAAAGTTAAAACTGGAAGTGGAGAAAAAAGAAGCTGAGAAAAAGAAAAACAATGTTTGGGATGCTATGAAAGAAGTTCCAAATTTGGATCAGCGTATCAAATTTAAAGCGGTTACCCTAATCTACTCTCTGGGAATGAAAGATGTGTTTACGGATATGTCGGTCGAAGAACGCTATGGTTGGATCCAAAGCAACATTAGCTCCGACTGATTTGTTTTGTTCTTGTTTCAGTATTTGTTTTTCTGGGTTTGTTTCGTTTTTATTATCGTAACACTATGTTATGATTTATGGGTTATTTAAGTTTGCTTTATGATACCAAACTAGATTTAAAAAAAATCTTTAGTTGAACTTATTATAATATTTTCAGCTATTATCATTATTTGTTTGTTACATGTGAGTGATGTCTCTCTTGTGGTATACGTACCATGTGACACTTTTATTTTACGTCTTTCTAGGCCTCTTACATACATTTTTCTTAACATTTTTTTGTAGGTGTATTATCATGGAAAGCACTACTGAAGAAGAAGAACAAATATATATTGAGAATGGAGCAACTCAAATAGAAGATGATGAATCAGACTTGGACATTATGCTGCTAATGTTGAATAATATAGCAAACGCATATGCAAAAAATGCCAATCGCATTGAGCGTCCTGTTCGTAAGCCGATCTCTAACATCGGATATATTTACATTCAAAATGCTCTTCAAGAGGATCCTGATCACTTTCGATTGGTGTATCGTATGTATCCGAGCTCATTTATGAAGTTGTGTGATCTTGTTAGACTAAAGGCATGTCTAAAAGATACTCGCCATATATGCGTGGAAGAAATGGTGGCCACATTTCTACTCATTGTAGGTCAAAGTTCGAAATATGGTTATACAAAAGATACTTTCAAGAGATCGAAGTTTGCTATAAGTGAAAATTTTCACAAGGTTTTAAGAGCACTAAATACCATAGCACCAGATTTGATGGCGAGGCCTGAAGTTACAACACCTACAAAGATAAGTGAGAGCACAAGATTTTATCCCTACTTCAAGGTACATATAAATTATGGTTTTTAATCAAGTTATGATATAGTTTTTTATCCATTATTTTATTGGAGATTTCAAATTGAATAGGACTGCATTGGAGCTATTGATGGAACACATATTTTTGCGATGATACCAAGAGATGATGTTCATAGTTATCGTAATCGCAAAGGGTTTGTCTCACAAAATGTCCTTGCTGCTTGTAACTTCGATTTAGAATTTATGTATGTTCTTAGTGGATGGGAAGGTTCAGCTCATGATTCAAAAATTTTAAGCAATGCACTGACAAGGAACACTAGCAGATTACATGTTCCAGAAGGTAATATAGCTAAGCTATAGTATATAGAATTATTAGTAGCATATTTTTTTTATATATATATAT